CACCTCTGGAACTACCTGCAAGGCCCCAGGAACTGACCACAGAAGCACTCCTGGGATGGAGCAGTTGTTATACCCTAGTGGGTATAACAACTAGCAGCCCTCGCTGTCGGCGCCTCCTTGGCCTCAGAGTCCACTCAAGCCACGCTTGAGAAGCCCTTCAGCCCACCCCTGCACTGTGGGAGCCCCTCTCTGGGCTGTCCGAGGCCGGAGTTGGCTGCCTCTGCTTGTGGAGAGGTGCAGAGGGAGAGGCGCTGGCCGGAACTGGGGCAGTAAGGGGCTTAACACCTAGGCCAGCAGCTGTGAAGGGTGCGCTGGGTCCCCCAGCACTGCCTGCCCGACCGTGCTGCACTTGCATTCCCGCTGGGCCTCAGCCGCCTCCCCATGGGGCAGGGTTAGGGATCTGCAGCCCACCATGCCCCAGCGCCCCCGCCCCAGTGGGCTTCCACGAGGCTGGAGCCTCCCCAATGGGCGCCGTCCCCTGCTCCACGATGCCCGGTCCCATGGACCACCCAAGGGTTGAGGAGTAGGGGCCTGCTGCACGGGACTGCCAGGCAGCTCCACCCATGGCCCCTGCACAGGATTCACTAGGCAAAGCCAGCTGGGCTCCTGAGTAGGATGGGGACTTGGAGAACTTTTATGTCTTGCTAAAAGATTGTAGATGCACCAATCAGTGCTCTGTGTCTAGCTCAAGGTTTGTAAATGCACCAATCAGCACCCTGTCAAAACGGACCAATCAGCTCTCTGTAAAATGGACCAATCAGCAGAATATGGGTGGGGTCAGACAAGGGAATGAAAGCTGGCTGCTTCAGCCAGCAGTGGCAACCAGCTCGGGTCCCCTTCCATGCTGTGGAAGCTTTGTTCTTTCGCTCTTTGCAATAAATCTTGCTGCTGCTCACTTTTTGAGTCTGCACTGCCTTTATGAGCTGTAACACTCACCGTGAAGGTCTGCAGCTTCTCTCCTGAGGAAGGTGAGACTACGAATCCACCGGGAGAAATGAACAACTCTGTACCGGAGGAACGAACAACTCCAGACACCACACCTTAAGAGCTGTAACGCCCACTGCAAAGATCTGCAGCTTCACTCCTGAGGCCAGCGAGCCCACGCACCCACCAGAAGGAAGAAACTCTGAACACGTCCGAACATCAGAAGAAACAAACTCAGGACACACCATCTTTAAGAACTGTAACACTCACTGCGAGGGTCCGCAGCTTCATTCTTGAAGTCAGTGAGACAAGAACCCACCAATTCTGGACACACTAGGACCAAAGGCTGCACCTCACCTTGCTGCCTACGGATGCTCAACAGGTGCCAGAGACAGCCAATTCCTGAGAGTAAACTTCAGGGCCGTGCTGTCTTGACCTTTTTCTTTGAGAGCCAGGTGGCCGGCCTTTACCCCAAGCCTTCTGATTTATGACCCTCCCTGACTTCGGATACCTGCCTGAATCTAGAACATTCTCAGTTCTCTCCGCTTACCCAGTTCTCTTCTTCCCTTGCCTTCCTCATCCCAACTTATCAAGGGATCATCTTTTTGTTGGTTGAGAGAGCCAAAAGTCTAAGGAAAGGAGACTTTGATTCTATGTAATCGGGTTTCCTTTTTTCAATGCTTTGTTATCCTGAGTAGGAAAAACACCTGGGTTTAGTATTGGTCCTGGCATTTCAATCTCTGACCTTCAGTCCCTTCATGAATAAACTCAGGATTGATGTTTAAGGTTCCAACTGTCTTTGATTGTGCTGATAAAGTCCACTTGAAGACGTGGGGCAATTTTGAGGCTCAGTGAACAAGAATTTTCATTATACACTCTTAAGTTTCTAAAGCGAATGTGATAATGCAATTGTGGGATTAGCAGAATTCTAATGTATTTGTGTTTCTAAGTATCTATGTTACCTCTGCATGGTTAAGGTTGGAGAGAAGGAAGACATATCCCCTCACTGACTCATTTCCGAATGAATGAGACACGTTCAGAGCAATCCTTTTTAACATGTCATAAAATTAACTATGAGAGAGAATAACGTTACAAATATCTTTAAGCACTTCACGCTCGCACACACAGCTACACTCTGCAAGGCAGTATTAGGTATCATCAGGCATTAAAAATGTTTTGATTTTAAAACACTTAATGAGGATTCCCAGATAAATTAAAACATCTCCATCTGCTGTCTTGCCTGGTAGGTGGTATTTTACCATTGCACAATCATCTCCAAATCTAATTCCACCAGGAAGACTTCTAATCGCAGCTTAATTTTAGAGCAATATTCTACTTGGCAATCAATAAGGCACTGTCGTCAAACTTTGATTTAATAGGAAATGTGGATAACATTCTCCACATTGTGCAGAGAGAGAGATACTTTCAGGAAAGGAAGAGAAGAACGTCTTTGTCTCCCACTTTTCCCTGCTGCCTACCATTCTAGTGCACAAAAGCCCGTAAATCAATGCCCCCATGTTGCGCAAATGTAAATCTCATCAATTTTACGTCATTAACACCATGAAAAAGCTACCACTCTTTGAGCAATTTTCCTCTGCTAGCTAAATATGTCCTCTTAATAAAACAAAAATTAATGGATCCTTATTATTTTGCTAGCAAATATGTCCTTCTCTGCCAACTTATTCGTGTCAGAAACCATTAGACTCACACATTCGTTTTATTGCCACTGGAGGGACTAGGGTAACTGGGCAGTCATACCACCATTAAAGCATGATGTCCAGTGGGCAGTGGGCAGCGTGGGCAAGCATGAAGCCAAAGAGAGAGTTCTAAGAGTAGTCAGAAAGGTTAGTGAATAGTCAGACCCTGGAAATTTAAGGAAAGGCAGAAAATTCTACTGCAACAAATGATTTATGAGGTCAAATGCCTGGAAAGATTGCAACTGGCCAAGAGGTGAACATTTTAGATCAGTGGTCATCTAGGCGATGACCATCGTGAAAGCCAGAGGCCCACTGTACCAGAAGGCTGGTTTTGTAGTGGGGGGTCCTAATGGCTTAAAAGGATTTGGGAAGATAGAATAAGAGCTTAGAGAGTATGTACTCCAGTGGTTCCCAATGTTTTTGTAACTAACTTCTCCTGTGTTAACATTTCTCTCTCTCTCCATGGACTCAGTAATGGGGAAGATTCTGTCTACCAAAAAAATTGCATTTGTAATCATCCATTTTCCTATTTGGACTATTTAAACCATAACTAATTGCCAGTAAGAGAATATACTCAAATATGAGTTAAGGAATATTAGCAACACTTAGCTGATATAATTCCAAATAAATGGCCGGGTGCAGTGGCTTGCACCTGTAATTTTAGCACTTTGGGAGGCCAAGACAGGTGGATTGCTTGAGCCCAGGAGTCTGAGACTAGCCTGGGCAACATGGCGAAACCCCATCTCTACAAAAAAATGAGCTGACTGTGGTGGCATATACCTGTAGTCCCAGACACCCAGGAGACTGAGGCGAGAGGATCACTTGAACTCAGGAGGTGAAGGTTGCAATGAGCCAAGATTGCACCATTGCACTCCAGATTGGGTGACAGAGTGAGACCCTGTCTCAAAAGAAAGAAATTCCAAATAAACTTGGCGTTTTCATTTGCATGCACATAGAAAAGTATAGACTTATTAGGAGTAATTATAGATTTCTGTTTAGCTTTTGAGATTTTGAAAACTGCATGGGGCCTCTTTTTATTACATTGAATGATCCCTAAGGATCTAGGGCTTTGGGTTATGAGCCATTGATCTGGTACATACCTCCCATTTACTAGAGGGCTAAACTTGAGGTACACAGGGATACACTGGGTACCTTGTGTTTACACAGTAGCGAGAATTCAAGCCTCCTAATACCTAGTATAATGAAAAGGCTCTTTATAAGGACTTTAAACATAGCATAAGCACCCAGATGAATATACAAGCCTTTACAGAGTACTGTTGAATGAGGATTGTTTTAAGTAGGTTTAGTATGGGAAAATAACCATAAAGATCACCATTACCCTATAGGATGGTGAACATTATCTGTTGAAGCTCAGATAATGAAGGCACAAAGGTCAACTATAAAAGATTTTCAAATGACTAATTATCAATCTCAGTTTACTTTAGTTCAACAACTATAATCCAGCCATAGTGCAAGGTGCTAGGATGACAGGGATAAGGAAGACAGAACCAGGTGGGAAAGACAGACAAGGAATCATGCAAATGTATCAGAGAAGGAAGACCTGTGAGAGTAAGGAAGTCCAGGGACCAACATTGGAGGAATTCATCAGTTCAGTGTCATTAGAAAGTAAAGTTCTACAGAAACACAAATGAGGGTGGAATTATTTCCCCAGGGAGAGAGAAGGCAAGCCTTGTTCAGAGGAAGTTTCACACAGGTGGTACTATTTCATATGGCCATTGAAAGAGAAGTAGGATTTGGACAAGTGAATAAAAAGAGTTGATGTTGCAGACAGAGAGACCTAGCAATGAAAAGCCTGAGAGAGATGCATAGCCCCACCTCTACCCCCAGTGGTGACTTTGGACAAAACAGAGAAAGGCATTTGTTCCTCAACACACTCTATCACCATCTGCTGGAAAAGTGTTGTCACCATGCACATCTATAGTTCTGTGAGTGTTAACAATACTCCCTGGACTTGTACAGTGTACATCCTCCACCACAGCACACAGAGTCTCTGAGAATTTAAGTAAATTAAATATCAATCCAAAAGTTGAACTGGGATGTGTCATGAAAACAAGATCAAATAGAAGCCTACCCATTGAACTAAACGCTGGCTCTAGCAAGCTGAATAAAGCCACCATTGCAGATGCTTATTCAGCATATGAACAATCCTGTGTTTCTCTCTGGTCACAGGATTAAGACCGTAGAGAGAAGCCTCCATTTCTCAAGGGCAGGCGTAGCTCTTTTTCTTTCCATCTGGACTAAACAGCTTTTCCAAAGCCCTTCGGGCCTGTTCACACATAGCTGAAACACATTTCTTATTGATCAACAGCTCAAAGGGAAAGTCCCCTGAAATATGTTCTTCATTTTTTTCTCTGATAGGCCCTTCAGCATCATCATGCTGTTCATGAAATATCCTACATTGCAAAGGACATTACAGATCACCGGGCCTTTGGATATGTTTGTGGGAAGGAAGGGAATCACAGATTTGTGGCCATAAAAACAGCCCAGGCGGTGAGTATCCCTATCCAAGAAGGGAGCCTTTCCTTGGAACTCTGGGAGGACAGTCCTGTGACTCCGTTGGTCTTTGAGGGCGCACTCTGAGATATGACCAAGCAATGCATTTCCACTGAAGTTGATGCTCACATTCCCGTCTAGAAAAGATAAACAGCCTTGAAGCAAGGAAACATGCTCATACCCATCCAGTTTATTCTTTTTCCTTTTTTTTTTTTTTTTTTTACTAATGGGTATTTCCTAATGACTAATTATTTTCCTTTCTGATTAAACTGGATGGAGGCACCGTGTACAAATAAGTTGCCTTGTGTTCATAGCCTCATTTAAAAAGAAAATAAGAGAAAACAAATAGCTGTTTTGCATAAGGCCTACTCTAATTTTATTGTGTTCTAAATCACTAATAAATAAAAGCAATGCCTTTTATGCTTATGATTATTATGAATTTGCAAATATAATTAGTTGAAGAAATGAACTTTAGCCTAGATGCAATTTGCTAAACCAGTATAAACAAGGTAGAATTAATTAAGAATGGAATGCTTTCAGATTAATAGAAAAAGGAAGGGCTGCGGGTTGTCGCCGCAAAAACAAAAATTGGTTGCTGCATCTCAGTACCATTCCCTTATGATGTGCCTTACCACCTTTCACTCCAGGCTGAACCTGTTATTCTGGACTTGAGAGATCTCTTTCAACTCATTTATGAATTGAAGCAAAGAGAAGAATTAGAAAAAAAGGCACAAAAGGATAAGCAGTGTGAACAAGCTGTGTACCAGGTATACCTGTGAATTTATCCTTGCGCTGCAGATCGGGCTTCAAATAAACACATGTAAAAACTGACAGTCAGGCCTTCTCTTCCTGCTGCCAAGTAGAAATAAACGAAGATGAAAGATTCCTGTGTAAATTACAGTACCCAAAGCAAGCCATTAGAAATTATCCCTTATTCTCTTAAACTCTAGACATGTTAGATGAAGTAAAATCTCGAATCCAGAGAAAGATTTCAGGGGTGGAGGACCCAAGAAACACAATTGCTTTTGCTATCGTTAACAGTGGGGTGGAGGTGGGGGTGGCTCTAAGGGTTTTGACTTTTCTGTGTTTTTTCTGCCTTGATGACCCACCAGCCTTTTCTGCCCAGAGCTGGTTTCTTTACTCTCCTGTAATTTCTGAATGCAGTCTCACATCTCTTTCTTTATGTCCTCTGCTTTTCACCCTCCCTCTCCTTATTCTGCAATAGACAATATTGGAAGAGGATGTTGAAGATCCTGTGTACCAGGTAATTTCTGAAACTAGTTGGGGTTTTAGATTCAAGAGTGACTAGACCTGTGCCAGAGCCATTTTGTCAGAAACCTGAAGAATCCACTGACTGCAAAACCTGGAGAGAGACCAAGATTATTTCTGAGGGCAAGGGCTGCCAGCCCCTCCAGGAGCAAATTTCCATAAAAACTAACAGAAGTTTGGCCGGCATCGGTATCTTGGGATTTGGAGATCCGCTTCTCCCTTCTTGCCTCTGCCTCGGCCCCCTTCACAGTCTGTAGAAGTTTGATCCCAGAGCTGAATGTTTTCAAGAGTCTCTTGAATATTCTGAGTTCATTAGAGAGAATATGAATAATGAGGTGGCTTCTCTGAGTTAAGAACCAGAGGTGGGGGCTGACGTTTTGGTAACATTTCAGCACAGACCCAAAGGATAGTTTCTAAGCTTTAGAAAGGCTATGAGGAGGACTCTCTGACCCCCGATGGGGCAAGCTGACCCTCCGATTACCTGGCTCATGCCATAGGAGCTGTTGGGAGGAAGGAAAGAGTGACCTTAAAGACACTTCTGCCCCTGGCTTTCTCTGGACTCTCTTCAAGATCTGCAGCTCAGTGGTGGGTAGAGAAATGATCTCTCTTGGGGTCAAGTATGTGGTTTGTTCAAAAAGCGATGCAGAAAAAAAGGGAAAAGCCTCTCCCTCCCCTGTGCTTATTCTCAAGGAGAAAGAGAAGCCAAAAAAAATGACTTTTGAACACAAAGGAAAATCTTGAACTTACAGTTCTAACTGGGATGCATAGGTGTTCTTTGTGTGTGTGTGTGTGTGTGTGTGTGTGTCACATACGTATTTTATATAAATGCATATTTTCACACAAAAAGCTGGTACTGCTACAATGAAAGTAACATAATATAGATAACTTGAAGTGGAAAAAGTACCTAGTGTATATGGCAAACAAAAGCCACAGATGCACGTAATGACATGCTCTTGCTTGAGAATACTGAGGGCCGAGGATTTGTATATAATATGAACTTCACCCTCTGGCTCACTGGCTTGCACAGAATAAAGAATAATAGCCTTTTTGAAATGTCTCAGTCCTGTAGAGTCTAAAACATGCACATGGAAACATCGATTTAACGTATTTTAAAGTGAGAATGTAAAATAAGGTGATATTTATGGGATAAAGGAGTTTGGGGCTTCCGAGCTCTTCAGAGTTTGTTTAAGATTTTGAGCCTTAGGGGAAAAGGGACGCCCCTCAACTGTAACCCATACTTTACAAAGTGTGGGATCCCAGGCATTCCAGTGAGACAGCATTCATACTCATCACTACCAACATATTCAGATATTACTGAGACAAATTGCCATTGAATGAAGAGGTTATATCACCAGAAAGATCTGCAGAGGCTCAATGCAATCACTGCTGAAATACTGACCAGCAGACCTGTGCAGTTTTCCTTAGGAAAGGCAGGAATGTACAAGGTACATTTTGTTTCAATAATTCAGTTGTGTCTTTAAGGTGTTTTCTCTTGTGCCTACTTCTTAAATGCTCACTGTGATTTGTATCTTAATTTCCAAATGCTTGTTTTTCCTTACTTCTTTTTCACCTCTGACCTTTCCTTTCTGGCTGCTCCTGTAATAGTACATTGTGTTTGAGGCTGGACACGAGCCAATCCGTGATCCCGAAACGGAAGAAAACATTTATCAGGTATAAAATTGCTTGCCTCTCTTACCATTGCACCACTACTAGTAAATGCATAAATACACTGATAGTCTAAAGAACCAAGGGTTCTGTTGGTCATTCCAGGCTTGTTAAAATGTCTTTGAGAGAATTGGCTTCTAGTTCCCCAGGAATTTCCAAGTAGTTTTCATGCCTTGTTGTTGTTTAATAGCCAGTTAGGTACAGTGTTTCACTTTTGAATGGATCTTAACTATTTTAAGTAGAAGCAAAAATAAAATGTTCCGTTTTACCAAGGTAATACATTGGAGAGCTGGTGTCCATTGTACAATTAGGATCCTTTATTTCTCAAAAAATTTTGCTCAACAAATTTCTTAAGAAGCCACCTCCACTGCTGAAAATAAAGCACAAATTTAATTTCAAATGCTATGTGAAAACAACATTGAGAATATTAACTGAATGAAAGTACAGCTAAAGGCTTTACCCTTGTTTTTAATTGTGCAAAGAAAACTAAACTTTTTAAACTCATTTAGTTCTCACAAAGCTATTATAAACTAGATATTTTAGTTCTGTTTTTATAGGGTGAGACTCAGAGAAGCCGAGTAGCTTTCTCGGGGTTGTACAACTATTTAGAGCCAAGATTCAAACCCAGGCATGGGTGTGAAGGCGAAGCTCTGGCTCCTTCTGCCATGGTCTTCCACCAAAGTGTCTGTGTAATTGCAGCATAGCAGCACATCAAATAGATATGATGACCTGCAACTTTTCACTCATTAGTATTGTAGTCCCAATTTGAAATAGAAACATTATAGGAGAAGAAAAAATTTTAATGTATTTAATAAGTGATTTTGATTTTGTTAGTTGTGTGCTCTATTCTGCCTTGGGTTTTTATTACTTATATAATAAAAGTAAAACATTTTCAATTTCTATCAAATGCATAGAATTCTAAATGACTAAAATATAATGTTAGTTCTACCAAAAATTTGGTTTAAAGTTGTCAGCCTTGTTGAGTAATAATCTGAGTATTTCTCTCCACTGGATCTATCTGGATACCATTCAAATGTGAGGTTGTGCTTTGAGGTTTTGTTGAAAGTCGTGGCTTACCAAGTATCTTTAATAAGAAAAGTTACATTTGTCCTGAGTGTCAGATTTTAAAGTATATACAACCTTACAGTATCTGAATATGAGGAGGAAAAATCCATTAACCAATCATCCTGGGAAGAGAAGGCCCCTTTTGAATAAAAGGAAGCTTTGCAGTATTAGAGGTTTCTGAATCCAGACTTAACTATAGTTGGCAGGGCTCCCGTTGAGCCCTGTGGGACTGCAGTCAGGGCCCAGTGGGGAGGGAGACATCCTAGTGTATTGGAAAGACCTGCTTTAGCTGGCGGAGAGCTGGGTTGTAGTCCAGGCTCTCTTGCCAACTACCTTTGGCTGAGTGGTAGTGGGCAAGGCACTTACCTTCTCCGAGTTAATTTCTCCCTTTATAAAACAGATGAAGAGTTTTTCCCTAACTCACAAGCTCATGTGTAGAATGGAAAGAAGAGGTGTCATCATGGGTCACAGAAAGTGGAGTGTGGCTGTGTGGATTCAGTATTTTAGTACAAGTACCACTCAGCCATTAATTAAATTGTCAAGTATTATTTTTTTCTCTGGGCTTCAGTTTACTCATCTGTAAAATGAGCAAGTAAAATACAGGGCTCTCTCAGGCAAGACCCTTTTCTGTTTTTTGCAATTACTGCTTTACCATAGGACTTTGATTTTTTTTTAAAGAGAATCATGTTGGCTTGTTTTACAGGATAATAAGACTCAGAAATGGTGGAGGTGGGAACATTTGCATGTGCACATGCGCTGACGGTGGGCCAGCTCTGTGAATGGGGTTTAAGTGCAATATCTTATTTCTCACAACAACCCCATGTGGCTTGAATCGTTATTCCCACCTTACAGATAAGGAAAGTGAGGCTCACAGAGATAAGGTATCTTGCCCAGGGTCCCAGAGCTAGCAAGAGGTAGAGCCCCCATTGCAGGTCCCTCTGACCTCTGTAAGTAAAGAAATAAATCCTGAGGCTGCTCTCAGCTCAGAATCCCCTGATTCTGAGTTTCACAATTAGATTCTAAGTCCCTTTCAAGTCACTATCTAAAAATCACACTTGTTTTAACAGCTCTGACCTCCAGATCTTCCCATCTGTCCATCATTAACAGGAAGCTACCATTTAAGGGAATGAATATTTTATCTCCTATTGGAAAAACCTCTGGTCATTCTCTTCTCCTCCTTTGCCAGTCTGCTGGGGCTCAATTTACTTAATAAGAGATAAGCTCTTGGGCCTGAAGATAAGGCTGGGCTTTTAAGGGGCCGCTATTAGGAGCCTCATTCTTTTTTTTATTTTTTTTTTCCAAGGGCTTGTGAGTGTTCCATAGCTATTTCTCCTGAATTGCAGTGTTTATTAATACTTCAGCTTGGCCCAGCCAGTGGTCTCAGCTTTTATTCACCTCCTTGTTTTCTGGAGTGAGGCAGACAGTCCTGGAGACCTTTAACTCTTTTGTGAACTTGAGTGGAGAACATAATTTTTGTATCTCAATTTTCTGGGCTATGAAATGGGGATAATATATTCTCTGCTCCTAGCAGTGATGTGAAAACGTACAATGAGGAGGAGAGCAGTTGGTTCATAGTAGATTCTGTGTAAACGTGAGTTTCTCCTCCTTCTTTGTGTGTTTTCAGTTTCAGATGCTGTTGAAGATGTCTTATGATCATGTTTTAAGTGAAAGAGAATATAACTTGCTCACCACATGTTGTCGGAGGGCCTAGCAGAAATCCTCAAGCTTGCTTCACTTTCCTATTTGTAACTCCAACAAAAGCGACACAGAGGCTTTTGAGTAAATGTAACCTCTTTTTTGGAGATTTTTTGAGTAGTCTTGTTTTCCCAATTATAGTAATAATAATAACTGCCTTTTGCTTTGCCTGCCTCAGAAAAAGTTATCGGCTGTATTAAAATTATCAGCCTCCCAATACAAAACATTTTTACACATCACTTAATTTTGATCCTTCTAATAAGGGTGACATAGGAAAAACAGCTACAATGACTATCATTTTGAACATAAGAAAATCAAGTTCCCTCAATTTAGGTGCTGAATACAAGGTCAGAACCTCTGATTCTAAATCTAGTGTTCTTCAATACCTGAACAGGCTTCCTATATAAGCAAGATATCAGCTTTCCACATGGCCATTTTCCAAGTTCATTCATTCAAAAACCGCTGTTAACCATCCAATCCGTGTCAAGTATCATTATTTTTAAATGATGATGAGTCACCAGGAAATGTTACCCAACAAAGCCTGGAACTGCCTCTCCACACTATTAATTAACATGCTGCCAAAATAAACGTAAAAGTGTCTTCTGTATGTATAGTATGTAGTGTGCTGTTTTTAGAATAATGTAACATCTATTCGCTTGTTCATACAAAAAAAAAAAGCTATTATTTATAGAACAAATAAATGACTGGACACATGGAAAATCACATGCATCCGGCACGGGGATGGGATGGTGACCATGGCATGGCCCCCACCCTCAGAAGTTTATAGACAGCCCCCTTAGATGCTCACATGGGGCAGATGGGGCAACTGAAGTTCAGAGAGCAAAGGGACTCTCTGAGTCGTAGCCTGTGGCAGACCCAGGATTTGGAACCACCAGTCTTCTGGTTCCTTTTGGTCTGAAACTTTTATTTCTCTAAAATATTGTGTTACTGAAGCCTTTTGTGTAAACAGAATGGAACAACTAAGCACAGATGACCGCGAGGACCATGCACCTTAGCCCTCATGGACTGAATCCTTGGCGATTAGGCATTTCTTTGTTCACCAATATTTACAGCTGTGGTTACAAGGATAATAAAATATCCCAACCTGCCCTCAGCAAGCTTATAGACCCTGGAACAGTTACAATGTGCTGCAATAACCCTCATGATGAGATAAAGCACACTTTACACTCTATTTCAGTAGTCTGATTACTTTTCCATCTCCCGCAATAAGACAAGGAGCTTTGTTAAATCAGGGGCCGTATCCATCATGTTCACCATCATTGTCCCAGGGAATGCATGATGCATGACACATAATACATACTTAGCAACTTTTATTTTTTAATGAAAGAATGCATCAGAGGTTACAAGAGTACAGGGGAAGGCTCCAAACAAGGCCTAGAGAATCAGGCAAGGCTGCCAAGAAGATATCCCAGCTGAGATAAATCTTAAAGGACAAACAGGCAGATTGATATCTCACCCATGGGAGAGCCAAGTAGAAAAACGTTTTCAATTATGCACAGTTTGGGTTTATCCATTCCACCGCTTCTTCTCCGTTTGCAGGGATAATTGAGAGGCAGCTGCGGTTCAACTGTGCAAAGTGCCCGTAGTGAGCAGTGAATTACGGGCAACAGAATGTTCTTCATTTTGCTCAGTAAAGGGTGAGCTAGTAAAAACAAAAGTGAGGGCTGGTAATTTATTGGCCCTCATTAACAAGGACTCTGTAGGCATTCTTAGTGGATTTCTTTTAGATGGAGCTCAGTTATCAGGAGCAAAGAAATGACATTCTTCGCTGGCTACTTGCACAGTGAAGCTTGCAAGAGCAGCTCTGGAAGTGTACCACCGACACAGCCATGCTCACTCAGTTCTGTTTTCTGCAAGAGTGTACATGAGCTTCTGGGAACATAGGATGTGATGTCAAAGAAAAGGCCCACTTGAAACAGCTGTCTGAATAATGTAGCAGTCAAATGGCAGACTCCCTGGGCTCAAGCTTTTGGCCTCCCCATTCACGAATTACACTCACAGAGTGAGTTGAATCACACAAACTACTCTGTCCAAGGGCCTCAGGGTCACAGGTGTTCTAGAGCAAATATCTCTACTGCCAGAGATATTTTTCTCCTCTGCAACATGGGACCCACTGAGTTCTTACCTGACGGACCTGTCTTGAGGATTGCATGAGAATGTATATAAGACACAAATGTTTACAACAGCGTCTGGCACATAGGAAGCACCCAGTCCATGTTAGCTCACATTATTAATAATAGTTGTCTTGTTTGGCCACCAGAAAGAGCTGGGTTTGAACCTGGTCACTTACCAACTTTGAAGATTTGGGCAAAGTCCCTAACATCTCTGAGCCTCACTTTCTCCTATTTAAAGTAAAGATGGTAATACTAATTTCTTAGAGTTGTTGCAAAGATTTTAAGTTAAATGAGATGAAAAGTGTCAAAGGGACCTATGGAATAAACTCAAATTCTTACTTCTTATAGAACAATGGTGTAGGTAGCTAGCTCAAGCCTAAAAGATACTTTTCCTTCACTATTCCCCACATTCCTCTATCATACGTTTACCATATGTCTCAGCAGACATTTACTGAGAGCCTACTGGGTGTTAGGCACTATGCCTGCTCTTAAGGAGCTCCCAATATGATGGAAAGAAAGGCATGTTGTCAGACCATTATAAAACCACTGCTGGCTGGGTCCTGCAATGGGAGTGTGAGCTAAGCTGTGACAGTTGCTGGGAAAGGAACAACTAATGAGTGCTTCCAATCTGGAATCTTTCAGTGAAAAACCCTTGGTTGACTCATTTGAAAAGTAGTCAACATATCCACTATTGTTAGTATCATAAGATGTGTTCATATATATTTTTATGATGTGTCAGTAACTAAAGTAATTCTTCTAACACATTTACAGTATTATGGTATGTAATAGTGTTGTGTATCTAATATCCCTTTTCTCACTCGGTCCTCAGAATAACCTGAGTAAGAGGCAGAGCTGATAGTAGTGAAGCTCGGAGGAGCTCAGTGACCTGCTCAGGCTGTCACAGTTAGCTCATAACACAGTGAGACCAGATGGATGAGTAAGGGAAGGGAGGAAGATGCAGATTAATGTTAAAAGTCCTCAAGATCTTCTCCATACTAGGCCCACGCTTTCCATACCACTTGTGGGCCTTTTTCTTCCATGAAAACCTTCCATAATTATCAGATGGCTTGTGTATGATCCCAATAGAAGATGAGCTTTGTGCTAGGATCTTGGTATTTGCTATATTTTAAATAGCCTGGATCTCAGACTCAGCATTGAGCAGTTTAAGCTCAGCTACAAACTGTTTCTAATCACTTCGGGAGCAGTATGGCACCTCCCTGGGCCTCATTTTTGTCTAAGGAAATGAGGATTTTTTTTCACCGCGTGACTTCTGAAGTCTATACAGGTTTCTAGTCTTTGATTCTGTGAGGAGCCCGATAGCAGAGATGACCTATAAACCTTTGTTAAATGATGCCCACTCCCTCTCCCCATCTGATGCTCCTAAGGGAGGGAGACTGGCCTGATACTTTCACAGTTAGACCAGGTTCCCGTGGGCTTGTCCTGGGGGCCATTCTCAGATATCCTTAACCAGCTTGCAGTTGAAGTCTGGTTGCTTTGTTCTTTGAAATTGGAGTACTAAAGTGTTCTGACTGTACTGAATTTAATTTTTCCATAGGTTCCCACCAGCCAAAAGAAGGAAGGTGTTTATGATGTGCCAAAAAGTCAACCTGTAAGTGTAAGTACATCTCCTCTCTACTGCCAGGTTTCTGCGACCTGGATTCACACTGAGGCTATGTCTACAGCCTGTGGAAGGAGACCCTTCTTCTGGAATGAGTGTCATGGCCCCACATGTTTCTGCTGGGGACTGCATGCTGGGGAATCTTCAGTGGGCCGGAGGAAGGAGACATGAGGCAGAAATGGTAGCACTGAGGAAAGGGTGCCAATATGAATGAAGGTCTGGTCCCATGAGTGGGCGTGAGTTGAATCATGCAAACTGCTCTGTTTAAGGGCCTCAAGGTCCTAGGTATTCTGGGCCAAAAGTCTCCAGCCATGGTTTAGAAGAAGTAATTCTTCTAACACATTACAGTATTATGGTATCTAATAGTGTTGTGTATCTAATACCCATTTTCTCATTCGATCCTCAGAATAACCTAAGAGGCAGAGTTGATAGTAGTGAAGCTCAGTGGAGCTCAGTGATCTGCTCAAGTGGAGGATAGTGTTTTTGTTGTTGAAAGAGAGCTGCCCATCTAATTTGAAAGTGGTTGACAAGTTTCAAAGGGACAGTAGGAGAAGGGCTGGCCAGGAGAAGAGCTGGCCAGGGCCTTTGGGGTATACAAAAATTCAGCCAGTGGGTGAAAATTTTGGAAAAGGTCATATGCAGTGGGCTTGTGGAGAACCCAAGAGGCATACCACATTAAGGACAACAAGGTCCAGTGGATCTGGACCCCATATGTTGGTGGGACTCCTGGGAATCTGGGACAGAACCGTAAATTCCCAGCTGTGTGGTACTGCTCTAAACCACTTAAGTGCCCAGAACTCATATTTAGGACCTCCAACTGGCAGGCAGAAAGCAATTTCTAAACATAATTCAGGCAGCTCTAGCGAGCCAATGAAGGCTCTTGAGGAGAGGGCATATGTGACTTTGCCACAGCCAAGGAACTAGCGTGTTCAGTCACTGTTGACCTCATTCATCTCAACAATGAGTGGACAGAGAAGGTGCTTTAAAGTCAGGTAGATCCTCAACAATGTGAGTTCTGTCCCTGACAGAACTGTTGTGAGGCTAAAATAGTTCTACCTGGAACACTGTTGTCTGTTCTGGACCCCACACTAAGAGAGAGATAAAGACACACCTGCATGTTTAACAATACGATTAACAAGGGGATGTGAAACTGCATTCTATGAGGAGCAGCTGAAGGACACAGAAATGTTTGGCCTGGATAAAAGAATCCATAGATACGAAATGGGACTCCAAAGGCCACTGTATGGAAAAGAGATTACCTTGTTCTGTGTCAGCCAAATCCTGGAACTGAGACTAGTGAGTGGCACTATAAGAAAGTCAATTCCAGCTCTAAGTGAGACTGACCCTCCCATAGTCAGAGCTCCTCAGGTGCAGACCAGCTGGCACCTCAGAGAGTGAGCTCACCATTCCTGGAGCTATGCAAGCAAGCCTTGCAGACCCCTTGTCAGAAAGATTACCAGGGCGATTCACACATTGCATAGGGAGATGGACAGGAGAGCTCTGGAGGTCTTTCCAAACCTGAGATTCTGCATTCTCCAAGTTGGGAGTCTTTCTGATCTGTTCTCATCCTTGCCTGCCCCCTTCTCCCTTTTCTTTAGTGAAACTTCTATCTGATCAATGTCCATTTCTCTAACCCACTCTTCCAGGATCTTGAAACCACCATCCCCGACCTAAATATGGCTTCTGAAACCTATACGTGTTAGTTTTCATGAAAAAGCATATCCAGATGCGGACTCGTTTTCAAAAACCCAAGTCTAGGGACCCTATTCTGTGTTGTGCTGCTCAGGGAAAAAGTAATTTTTCTCCCTAAGGCCTTTGCACCTCATCAGACCCCCTTGTCACTGAGACATTGGCCTGCTCTTCGTGTTTCAATTTGGTCCATTCCCCATGATACCATTCTCTGCAATTCAATTTGTGCCTGAATTGCCACACTTGCCCCTAACAGGTTTAGATATGTAAGGAAACATGCTCCAGTTGCTGCCTTGGTTTTTGTGAATTTATTAATGATTATGGCCACACCATCTCCATGCTTAATAGTTCCAGAAAAAAAAAAAAAAAAAAATCGAAGCTCCTTTGCCTGAGATACACAGGCAGGCTGCCTGCAGATCCCCTCTCCAGCCTATGTGTCTAGTCTACTTCCTTCTGGTCCAGCCCTACTGAAGTCTTTTTGTGTTTGTTTGTTTCACCCCTCCCCACTCTCTCTGCAGCCTTCCCCCAGCATTCCAACTTTACTTCAAACTTTGTGTTCTCAGGGGGACTTTCTGGACTTTCCCTCTGAACAACAGCAGCAGATCACTCCTGCCTTTGTGCCTTCATTCCTCTGTCAATAGTATTTCTTCCCTGTTACTTCCTTGAATGTCCTGGGGTCCTTGTATTACCAGATGCAAGCCCATGGCCTGGTATATGAAAGCCAGGTGCAACATAGCTGCTTTAGGAACATTTAATAAATATATGAAGGCCGGGCGTGGTGGCTCAGGCCTGTAATTCCAGCACTTTGGGAGGCAGAGGCAGGCAGATCATGAGGTCAGCCTGGCCAGCATGGTGAAACCCTGTCTCTACTAAAGATACAAAACATTAGCTGGGCATGGTGACGTGTGCCTGTAATCCCAGCTACTCGGGAGGCTGAGGCAGGAAAATTGCTTGAACCCAGGAGGCGGAGGTTGCAGTGAGCCGAGATGACGCCACTGCACCTGGGCGACAGAGTAAAACTCCGTCTCAAATAAAATAAAATAATAAATATATGAATGACTCTATCTGTAGAAGGAATTTATGAAAATCCCCGGTAGAATTAAGAAAGACCCTGTATTTCTGACTCCAAAATAATCATTAAGGAAATACACTAGAAATTTTCCTTGCAAAATATCTGGGCTGCCTGATCGGCATGCAGTGTCTCCCAACCCGCCGTTCTCTCAGAGTCCTAGAACCAACTGATGGTAATGATGACTTTTCCATGAGCTATTTTCAACATTTTCGAAAGCCTATGAGAGGTAAGAAGTAAAAACCTCAGGTTATTGTATAGAGACAGGTGGCTGCAGTTGGAATCTGCGCTCCTTCTCTTCCTACCTGTGAGACTTTTGATACATTTCCTTGCCTCAGAGACTCAGTTTTCTTTTTTACCAAAAAAGATGATTAAACATAATTAGAGGACAGAGTAGTATACGTATTGGAAAGTTGATCCCACTTGCCTAAGCCTCCCAGAGGTAATACCAGATACCACACACCCCTCCCCGCTCTGGGATCTTCCTGCCTTCTAGGCTTCCCATAGTAGACCTGCCTCTCTGATGAATACACACTCCCTACAGTACCTCTGTACTCTGAAAACCCTTGCCTCTCACTGTTTACTCCTTCACCACCTTTCCCTTAGCCATAAAGACAAATGTAAGAGATAACTCAATTAGTGTATGTTAAGCAGCTTCCAGAAAGTCATGAGACTTCCACAAGTTTCCCATAAGAAGAGAAACTGCCCAGTGGCCTGTTCCACCTGGTTTCATTTTTTTCTAGGTTCCACCTGGTTTCATTTTTCTCAGGTTTAGGTCTGCACAGAGCCTGGTCTTCAGAGTGAGATCTGGGTGTAGTTCTTACCACAGCCACTTCCTGAGAGTCCCTGAGCTGCTTTTTGCGTCTCTGATCCTCTATGTTATTATCTACAAAAAGAAAATAACACTACCTTTGCTTTGTTTGGAGGATTAAAGGAGACATGTATGCAAAACCCTTAACATAAGATGTGAATTACGTAGCATGAGAACATATCCACATGTTGCTATTTCAGGCAGTGCTCTAGCAAACACTTCTCACTGAGCCAGGGATTGGCAGCTATTCTAGGGGATTACACACCCTCTCTGGGAAGCCTTCCTTACCCCAAATAGAGTATTCAATCTCTCTGGGCTACCTCTAATATTTCTTTTTGCAATGATCCTAATGGATTGTCATTTTCTCTTAACATATTCATGTGAACCATTGGACTTTGAGTTCCTTGAAAACCTTGGCAGAGATCACATCTCATGCAGCTTTGTAATCTCAGCACCTAGCATGGTGCCTGAAATATACTTCCCATTGAGGACTGTGGTAGTAACCTAAGCTATGAGAGATGACGGGGTTTGAATCCTGGCTTCATTACTGGCTATGTGACCTTGAGTGCGTCCTTTGCTCTATTCAGTCTTTGGTCTTCTCAGCTATATAATGGTGATGTGAAAACCAAATTCACTGAGTTCTGAGAGTTTAGATTAATAACAGTGATTACTCAGTGTGCACTGGCAATTACTAGACACTTACTAAACGTTTTGTTGCACTGAACTACTCACCAGGAGTTGTCACTTTCATTCCATACCTCCTTGCATTGCGAGTCCATTGAGGACAGGAATCATATCATTCATGTCCTGATTACAGTGAGCATCAGTACAGAGCAGCTGCTCAAGTGGTAAGTGAATGAATAAAAATAAAGGAACAAATGAATCCCTGTGTAAGGAATGAATGAATAAGTGAATGCCTATAGACTCAAAGCTCATCTATTGTCCATTAAGTTCTTTTTCCTTCTGGGGCCAAAGACACTGTGTCAAACTAAGACAGTGTTGATTCTCAAAGAAGCCCTCTTGCCCGGCCCTTCTTCCACTTTGCGTTTAACCATTCTTGCCCTGTTCCACCTGCAGCCTCCATAAATATGCGTTGTTGTTTTTTTTTTTTTGTTTTCATAGCTTGGATCACCAAGCAGACAGGTTGCCTTCTGAACACAAACCCACACACTCACGTACCTGCATTCACTCCCCTCCTACATCAGGAACTTAGCATCAGGCAAAGCCACAATATCTTGCTTCCTTGGCAGGGTTATTTTTGATTTTTGTTTTTACATCCAACCTAGGGTTTGATTTTTTTCCTTCTAGGGCCCTATGGAAAGTGTTTAAAGTCATTAAAACTCTTTAAGTTTTCTGAAGAGGGGCCTGTAACTTATAAACTATTAGGGACACAATCTGATAGAATTAAGAATCAGTAGGCCGGGCGCG